CTCTGACATTTACAGCCTTCTTGAGACAACTGTGCATTTTTTTGCATTAGTGTCACGCCAGCTGTCTAAGATTTGAGACATTTACTGTTTACAGTTCAGAGACTAGTGTTTTTTATGCACCCTCTCGGGTAAGCATCAGCTCTGCCAGATATCGCCCTGGATACGTCTTTCGTTTTTTATGCACGACTTTGATTAAGCGCGTGTTTTGTCATCCCCAATGACTGGATTTCAGATTTACTGTCGATCAGCTACTAATACAACACTGAATATTTACGGGTAACGTCAGCAGCGTTTGATGGTCGGATTCTACCATAGCGAATTCACCACTAATGTTCACAGGTTTGGCTCGGACAATCGACTGGTGTCTGCAAAGAATGAAGAGGGACTTCAATCAGCCCATAGTCATCACTATAAACAATCCGACACGCCTTTAAGCCATTGCCGTGCGCTTGGAAGGCTGAAGACTGACGAGATAGGCCGGCCCCCCAAGACGTAATGACTCTGTAGCGGACAGACATGAATGGTTTTGTTTTTAAGAGACAAGGGCGCCAAGTTTGAGAGCAAGGATGCCTGGCGTCTGGACACTGTCTGGTTTTCTTTCTCCTATCTTCCAGTCGAGCTGCGCGAAGAAAACGACTCTCCCTCCCCGGTGGTAGCTCCCAACTCCATCTTCCCCGGATAACTGTGAAGTTAACGTTACGTCGGATTAATTGATCCCCTCCTTTTGTTCCTCGTTCTACGTTCTTTTCCCTCCCTCCTGAAATAAACCTTGTTACATTACGCGTCCTATCGTGTGCCTGAAGACTGATAGTCGATGATGAATGTTTGGAAAGACGACCCTAACGATAAGCAGACCGAACAGAGTGCTCCAGCGCCCGGCGTTCCGTCCCAGGCAGCCCATAAGGACGCGAGTGAGATCACGGCCGCAGAATCCGAATCGAGGTCGGACGCTACAGGGGTGGCAACGAAAGAGCCAAACCCGCAGCCTAAGAACAGTGCAGCAAACCCTATCCCGTCTTCCTTTAAACCCTACGACGGGAGTAAAGATTTTACATGCTGGCTTCGACGCCTTAAGTTCCACCTAGACGACGTCCCACAACACGAACGCAGTCGTATGGTACTAGAGCATCTAGCAGATGACCAAATGGACAAGGCACTGGATGTCGGCCTCATTCGCCACATCCCTTTCCAGGTGCTGTGCGACCAGTTGCAGAGGCTATTTAGCAGATGACCCTCATCGAGGTCGGACGCTACAGACTCCTTCTTAATATGGCCTATGTGGCGCTCCTACTCAGTTGGGATCCGAGGCAGCGCTCTCTTGTTTGTGTGAGACGCTGGCGGAGCCTGACTTGGTCTTGACCCACGTGGATGAGAGTTCAGTAGACGCAGCAAAGTTCTATTCCAACTATAAACGATTTCCCTACATACAGCCTGCTGTGGGGCACACGGTAGACATCGTCGCCACTGACGTCTCGGAGTACAAACAAGTTAGTTGACAGCATTGCCTGAAATTTTTATCAACGAAGGGAAGGTTAAACGTTGCAGCCGTTGATAATCAACGTCAGAAAGTGCTGTGCTTCATCCGAGGTTTGCATGTATTTCAAGCGCAGAATGGGAAACCAAATAACGACAAAAATAAGGCCGTCCTTATGATAGTCAAAAAGGTTTAGAATACATAAAGCAATAGAGCGAGACAAGTGTCAAACAACACAGTTTCGTGTTAACAAATAAATTTCTCGTAATTATGTAGAAACATTACTTGCGAGGGATCAGGGTGTTTAGGGTTATAACAAAAGTAAAAAGAAATCTGCACCCCTCAGTGGAAATATCACTTTATCTTTCTATAACCATTGTCAAATAGTCCGTATACAGCGAATGATCGAATTCATAAAATGTTGACTGAAATTCTGAAGTGCATTTTCGACTAGGAAGGATTACTTAAGCGCGGTTGTAACACTGATTATCTTACGACATAATCCTACTATATTTCGGACTTCGCAGGATTTCAGCTTTTGAATACACTGCTTCTCAATCTCCTGTAGAAAGGGTAAAAAATGACTACTTAAACAGCATGCACTTTTCCCATTGATTTTTGCTGGTTTTGCAAATTCAAATATATTTTATGGAAACCACCAACAAGAATATGCCTCCTTCCAGTCGTTGTATAGGGAATTACATCAACTTTATATTTTATGCTCGAAAAAGGGA